TATGAAGATTTCATTTTATTCTTTACATGTGTCATATTATCAATAGCAAATGTTAAAATGACATGACATGATGACAAACCATGACAACCTGGCATCCTTGATGTTGGCAACAACTTATGGTCTCTTTCCTACATTAGGATTTTTAACACAAATATTTACCCCCTAAGTTTAATGGCTTAAAAATATATAGCCTAAAGCGTGACGTAAGTGTAGGGCTTTTTATTAAAAAAGGAATTATTCAGAAATATGCTGTAATTGCTGACATCTTAGGCAACAAAGAAGTGTGTGTTTACGCTTTATTATAATAGTATAGATAGAGTATTACAGATGATACAGGGTTATTTACTTGAAACGAAACCAGAATCAAAGCTCTGTCTATGCTTGTAGGTGGACTAAGGATGACTATTTTAACGACCTGTGATTAATAATCTAAAAACTGATCTTAAGGTTGGAAAATACTAGTAGTGCCACTTTGTGATAATGAGTACGAGGTACAAAAGCAATTTTAGAGGTACTAGCGCCCTGGGAGAATCCGGACAGTTTTCTGCACCCCCTGTTACTGTACCTTGCTTTAACTTTGCTAAAGCAGACACTGTTTGACAGAACACCTTTTTAAATTGCTGTCAATAAAAATTCAGAAAAACGAAAAAAAAAGTTTTACCACAAAAAATACTACTACATTTTCTGTACCAACTACATCGTCAACTTGCCGACACAGTATGCCTGCTATACATTTCTATTAGCCGTCATAATTCTGTACAATTTACCACTTGTTAGTTAAAAGATTTACATATTTTTACTCTCTGTGTATCCTCAGCCTATAGTAATCAATGTGAAGGCATTGTAGATCGCTTCGTGAGCAGTCTTCACTAAGAATAGAGTAATTTACGTTGAGTTCGCGTGCTGATAAACGTCTGCCGTCTCGACATTACTGTCGCACTGTCTGTCGGTTAGTCTGTGACACACAGGGTAACACAAATTAATTTTAATGCAACGAATACTAACAATATAAAGAGGAAAGATTTGAAATTTAAAACTACTAGCGTTATTTTAGAAAGTTACATTTTTATTTACATATAGCCTATTAGGTATTCGATTTTGAATTGTTCAGAATTAATATCGATTTATTGTTCCTTGTCGATTCTATCTCTATTATTACTTCTTATCTTCATATCCGCTTACAACCGCTACCGTAAGCGCTACTACTACGAAAAATAGCTACAAACACCACAGCTTATAGCCTGTCCATTTATAGAGGTCAGTGGTCAAAGTACGAATATAAAATTGTTTATAACATTATGATGTGTTATTTATTAGTTATAGGATATAGGTAATTACACTTCGCAGTAGACAGTAGACGTTAAAATCCGATTAATATTAAGCCAATTTACGACACTGTTTATAGTTCTCAAGAGTGTGGGAAACGTAGGCCTTTGTTTTTTACTTCGCAATATTACATTGATGTAATTTCACGTTGATGTACAAATTATTGCAGCTTTAACATTACTACAGTATCTTTCAAACATTATCACCATAGACGTAGCCAGACAATGGTGTAAATAGGCCCAGGGGAGACAGCTACAAGGGCGGATCCAGCTTTGGCGCCACGGGGAGGGGGGTCACATAGTCGTGATCAAGTCAAGAGCTTGACAAAATATGTAAATATATTTTGTCAAGCCCTTGGACAGCTATTACAATATGGTTTTATTCAAAGTAGATTTTATGATTGTTTTATATTTTTCGATCTAGAGTTAAGTAGACTGTGAGATCGCTGCTAACTACCGCCCTCCCACCTTTGTCACCTATTATCCTCTCGATTATCTATTCAGAAAATAGACACGAATTTTGTACATGAACAAGATACAATCGAATTGTGTGCTCATTGACTACAGATTGAACGTTACCTTCATAATTTTTACAAGCATGTACAAATCGTAAAACAATAAATTTATTGTTTCAAAAAGACGTTCGTATGAGTTAATATGATTACCGACATCGCAATAATTACGCAGTAGGAATGAACGCTGTGAAAATATTACCTTGTATTCAACTTTTGTGTAACTTAACACGTCGGATAATGATTGTTCTTAAAAAATTATAATAAAAAAAAAGGTTTGGATATTTGAATCTCCAACTCAGAGGTACTAAATGTAAGTAAATGAGTTATGTTAGGATATATTTAGTACAAGCTTTCGCCTGCTACTTCGGCCGCGTGGAATTAAAAAACAAAAGTGGTTAGCCTATGTATTCTTCCAGACTATCCTCTACATCTATGCCAAATTTCATCTAGATCCATTCAGCCGTTTAGGCTACAAACTCTAATAAACATCCATCCATCTAAACTTTCGCATGTATAATATTAGTAAGATTGTAACGCATGCTGGTTTCAGTTTTTTTACACATTCTTTTTAAACAAGTAGTGTTAAAACTTATGTTAGCAGCTTGTAATGTCTGTCTATAATTAGTCATCCTCTAACGCGTTTTTAGGTTGCTATTACATTTTGTTGTTTATAATTACATCATTTTTGTTGCGTTATGCTATAATTAAGGACGGAAACACACATGCCAGTAATATTGGGTAGTAGCTGGAATGTCTTCTACTAGCTGTAATTGTTACTGGTTATGTGTTAACTTATGGTACTAGTTGGCTCATGCCAGGCCTGTGTATTGCTGGTGGAAACGAATTCAATAAATGTTTCGTCCTCCAATAGTGGGTGGGTTTTCGTTTTTGTAAGTACTTTTGTTGCTGAATGTACATTTGTAGCGTAGGTTTCGACAAATTGTAACAACCGCTCGACCGAGTTATAAACGATGCAAATGTTTGCATCTTTTTGTTACAAAACATGTATTGCGATATGGAATATT